TATCCGAGGTTCGCCGTATCCGAGGTACCCTCGGTCCCAATTACCTCGGTTAACCGAGGTTCTACTGTATATATATATATATTTTTTTTTTTTACAGAGGGCCAGGCTTCAAGTAACCATGGGATTTGCAGCGCAGCTAGAACAGCTTATTGTGCACCCTCATTCACAGGTCCTCATTCTTTGTCAAATCCCAGGTCCTTTGTGAACCATGAGATCCTTTTGACTATGGTAATACCCAATGGTTCTTCACTTTGATCTCCAGTCGATAGGCCAAGGGATCTCATGCGCAGACCTTGTAGGGCTGGGCACATTTTTATCACGTGGAATGCTGTCTTCTCCTCCTCTCCACATTTCCTACATAAGAGGCTTTCAACTTCCCATCTTGTTTAAATGTCCACGGAATACTCAATAGCCGCTAATAAAGCCAACCACCTTCCCCAGGGTCTTCCTACTCAGCCCAAGGGCATCTGCCGCTATCGCACCTGTAAGGCGATATCCCCTAATGTTACTTCTCTAATTCAGCCAACAATTGGTCGAAGGAAAACTGTCCCGAGAGGAAATAACACTAAAGAACGCTGCTTATTGGGTTGCCGAAGCAAGGGATAATTTAGCAGAACACACAGTCAGGGAATCATGGAATAAGCTTTTTGGGATACAATAGATAACAGAAAAACGTTCCTTCAACATTGGATCCAAAACCGATGTCAGTGAGCTGTTTGTACTGACAATGTCCTCAGAAGATTGGACTGGGTAAATAGAGATGATTTCAAATTTATGAAGAAATTTAAACTGTTTTCTGGTGGAGTTAAGCTACGGCACTCTTTTTAGTGAATTTCCCATATAGGGAATAAGCTATTACCGTTGGTCTCATGGTAAGACCTAGACCCGGGACCAATTTACTTTTTTGTTTCGAGGTCCCCAGAGGCCAAAAACACCATCCGTTCAAATGCATATATATATATATATATATTTGTTTATAATATAACAATTAAAAACATAGTTACAGTAGAGTCCTGCAGAATCGGCGTAGTGTGGACTGGACGGGTGCAGAGTGTGTGAAATGCTGGGTTATCAGGAACTAGAGTTAAAAATAAGAACAATACAATTTTTAAGCTTTTACTTGCCTTTTTTATCTATATAATTAATACGCTACATGAAACTTTGTCGGTTGAACTCCTCCGCCATTTCTTAACCGATTTTATCCATTGACGTCTCATTGGAAAGAGCGTGTCGCGTAGATTTGCAAACTGGCCTTACATTTTTGAAAAAGTCACTTGGGCTCTGCCCCAGTGGCTTTGAAAGTTCCCATGTTATCCTTATGAAGAACATAATTGTTTACATTTTGATCAGCTGTATAATTTAATTGCTGTTATTTATTTTTCGATTCAAAGTCTTTTACTCATCGGAAATTATGATGACTTTTATTTGTTTTTAAATAACTACTTTAGTTCTTTGGAATTGCTCGATTTCGAGCAACGTGTTTACTAGTTTATATTTATTTTACAAGTCAGTATTAAGTCACCAGATATAGTACAGAGTGAAAATTTAAAAACGTACGTTTTCAGGAAAAGCACTTTGCAAATTTTTGTCCCCTTTTTTCAAAACTTTTATTATTTTTTTTATTTCATTAACATTTGAAGTTTCATAAAATGTCCATGGTAACGCAATATCTTTGGTAGTTTTCTTTTTAAAGAGCATCTTTAGTAGAAAAACACAAAATCCTGTCACGACCATAACGGACCTTTAAATGAATATTAAAAATAGTTAATATTATTTTTATAACTATGTTTTGCTATAAACTAATTTACTTTAATGACCATTATACAATAAAAAGCTCACTGAGCTTTTGGTATATTTTGTCTTTCAAGAAAAAAATAAAAAAAACTCAAAAAATATAAAAAAGCCAATAAAATCTTTTTAAGTTTGTATAACTCCGAAAAAACTTACCTGAGACCCGAAAAATCGTTATGTTTGTATAGAGGTGTGCTTCTTTTGTGTATAAAACATTGAAATATGACGATATTTTAATTTTTGAAATTTGTATGATAGAAATCATAAACGTGATGGTCAGGGACAAGCGGTACGGTCGTGAATTGTCTGGAATAATCTAAATCTTTCTAAACAATCCTTCAATTATACTGTTAGTTATAATAAAACTATGTGTTTCAATTGAACTAAACTGTTCCATTTACAATTATATTAAGTTATTGTCACGACCAAACACACTATAATCCATAAAGGTGGATTGGTCGTGAAAAAAACCGCGATGGTCGTGAAACTTTGGTCGTGAAATTACGTGTTATTTGGCTCTGTTCTGGCGGTAGCCCTGCACCTCATGTTCGAGGATACAAAGTGGACTTCTAGGTTAATCTAGCAATTGAAATATCTTATAAACAAAAACTAACACCATGTCTACTTCATCGAATGACTACGTACGGTCATGGACACACCAAAATTACAAAAAACACAATCTTTCCTTTATTAATCTTGTAATTCCTCCTTTCAACTCAAAACGACCGGCACTACAATCCTGACGTACACCCCGAACTAGTCTCTAAAACCAACTGACTCCATCGACGCCAGGCTTGCCACTGTCGTGCTCCAAAGTTCAAAATTTTTCCCAAATGGTTGTGACGCCAAATCGAGGGACAGACTTATTTTGTCATGGTAGTCAGTCTGCAATGACAATAAAATTATAATATGCTCCTTTTTTGTAAGTTTAATAACCATTGATGACATAAAAATATGGCTTTATATATTTCGGCATGAATAATTAGTCTAAAAACAGCGTGAAAGTTGGAAAATGTACCCTAGGGACACGTCATGGTCGTGAATTTCGAGACTTTAAAAATACGAAAAAAATACCAAGAACCTATTTAAAACCAAATAAATGTGTGTAACATGTTGCCCCCGTCCCAAAAAATATTAAAACACATAATAATAAACTACAAATCCAGTATCTACGAAGTAAAAGGCCAGGGACATGAAAACGTACGTTTTTAAATTTTCACTCTACAACAAATCCTTGGTACGAGTTGTGAATGATTTGACTTGAGCTGGCTTGAGTCCATGTTTAACTCAGACTCAAAAAATCACCAATTTTATGAGCCAAGTGATGGCCGAGTTATCCAGACTGCCGGGTTATCGAGTGCCGAATTTGCGGGACTCTACTGTTTTTAAGGAATATTTTAGTATAAAAAAGTAGCTTATTTAAATTCCATTATCATAAACTGTCTTGCCTCTTGTTTACAAGTTTACGAGTTTGTTGCCTTGTGGTCATCCAACTGAAAAAGCAGTTGTTCAAGTTGAAAATAAATTCACTTTTAATATTTAATCAGTTATAAAGAATGTTGGTCAGCAATGAAAACAACAACAACAAAAACTAACACTTGAGGGACAAATCTCTAAAGGCACTAACCTGTTTATTTACCCTTTGTCACTCTGCTAGAAGCTTTACAATTATACCTCAATCATAAAAATCTGTTGAGTAGGACGGCTGAAAAAGGGATGTAACAGGGAAACCCATATTGAATTAATTATATGGAAGATTGCAAAAAGACAACGTTAGTAGAACCACTATCTACCAGCAACGTGTCGCATCCACAATCAGTACTGTTATTTGGCCTAACTTATGTCATATGTTTTTGTGTTGAGCCTGTGTGAGTGTTTATTTAGTGTTATTTATTATTGTTGTTTTCATTAGCCATATTTAGTTATTAAAAATTACTTGCATGGAGACTTATTCAGGCATTTATTAATAAAAGGGCCCCTAAAAACAACAAAAAAACTGAAATTTAAACTGTCAAATAATAAGTTTATGACATTGAAATTATATTGTACACGCAAAATAGATCAGATGTTTTGGATACAAATTTTTTTGCCATTTTTTGACCCAGTATCCATGTTAGTTTAGTTGTAGGTAGAGCAGTGGGCTGACCCTCACCCTGTACACAAAGGGAATATTTCCGAGGTTCCATGATAGGGAAAGGAACTGGCACAGTGTCTATGTCCCCTTCACAGTCTCAGTGATGAAGAGGATTCTCATTGATGACAATCAACTTCAAACAATTAGTCACAAATTTATATACACATTTAATATTTATACAGGGTGACACAAAGGAACCGGACGTTTTTTAAACAGCTGTTCCATTGTTGTTGCACATGGTAGGAAGATTGAAGTTATGTCATTACCTTCAGTGAGGCTTGCCATTTTTGATAAAATCGCTCAGTGGACCCTAGACCATCGCGTTTTCGCATACGATACTTTGGTCCGAAATGGTGAATCCGCCGTCAAATCCAGCAGGAATTTAGTCGACATTTTAATATTGAACGCCATGGAACGGTTCCAAGCCGAAATACGCTATTAAGATGGGTTTCAGGGCTCCGAACAACTGGGAATATAACAAGAAAGAAACCACCAGGCCTTGTTAGAACTTCGAGAACACCCGAAAATATCGCCAGAAAGAGAGCAGTATTGAATGAATTTTTCCTAACAAGGTGATTTCTCGCTTTGGTGACATGCCATGGCCGCCAAGATCACCCGGCTTGTCCACCAGTGATTATATCCTTTGGGGGTTTCTTAAGGAGTGTGTTCATGCTCACAAACCACGCACTCTAGGGGATTTGAAGTTTGCAATCACAGAAGATATCAATGGCATTGAACCTCCTCACCCGAGTTTCAGATGATTTTCAGACCAGAATGAACATTTGTAGATAAGTACATGGCCGCCATATGCATGATGTAATTTTCAAAAAATTACGAATTTATAACAAATGGCAAATGTTTACCTCACTATGTACAGTATTAAAACCAGTTTATTCCTTTTAACTACTGTGTATTACTTATTTAAAAAACGTCCGGTTCCTTTGTGTCACCATGTATTAATGATCTATTTTGTTATCTGTCACATTTTCACTGTTGGCTAGCAATATAGAACTGTCTACAGATTTGCCATTTAAGGGCAGTTGCTGAAGTGAACTGTGTAGTATAATGTTGACAGGGCTGAAGGATATCAGCCAGTGGACACCACAGTTGAGGCAGAAACTGGAGGCTGTGTATGGAGCTGAATACCTGACAACTTTGTGGACTAACTACTGCCAGTGAGTACAATTACAACTCATATCCTCACTAGCCCACCACAGTTACAATAATAATTGTGTTTACGCAGGAGAATAATATGCTCACAAGGTTTCTCAATGTGCAAAATAAAACTTGCACAGTGTTGCTAGCCAAACTTAAACTTGAAAGTTGCAATTGTCTGTGGGAGTATAACCATTGACCATTGGGTAGTGAAGTAGGCAACCCATCTACAGTAGACTCCCTCTTATCTGGAAAACTTTTTATTGGACTACACTCGGCGAAAATGACATCTCTTCAACCGGACAATTTTTATGAGCACATTGGTTAAACCGGACTAGATCGGCAGGAAGTGGGCGGTACTTTAACAACTGTTCTCGTGGGAAAGATTTGAGACCAGTGATCACATGTCTTAAAACAATGCTCTCCTAAATTTAAGTCAAATACTGTATACATGCATTTAAACGGTCCGTTTTTACAAGTTTTTGGGGACGTCGGTTTAACCGGAAAAACCGTTATCCGGACTAGCCTCGGTCCTGAGGAGTCCGGATAAGAGGGAGTCTACCGTACTGTACAGTATATGGATGGACCAAGGCAAAAATGTGGTTCGGATTCCACTATAAACTGTAGGTCCCTTAGTTGCCATTATCTGTATGGGCTATTAATTAACAGCTGTGTCTAAGGAATGTGTCAAAATAGTCGAACCTTAGTCACTAACAAGACTACAAGATCGCGCCACTCATCCTACACTCATCTCCATTCATATTTTAGTTAAATTACCTACTTTGTATGTTTGCCATTTCAATGTAAAGTAGAGTAAAGTAAAGTAAAGGACCAGCTGTTGTCAATGCTTATTTAAATTGATTGTGCTACAGTACAAATTCTATTTTCTTCCTTAATTTTCAATAGTAAGAAAATTTTCAACTACTTTAATAGTTGGGTGTGACTTAAAAGATGCTATAGTTTACAATAAGATGTCCTTTAAGTTCAGTTTGGTTAAAACTTTGGCATTTAACAGAAATTGGTAAATGACATCAGCACACTCTGTTGGTGGCTCAATTGAACTAGATTCATTTTCATCCTAAAACTGGTTGGGAGTGAGCTGGTCTAGTGGTAGATCTCGGGGCTTGGGAGCCTTAGGCCCCAGGTTTAAATTTTGCCAATGGATTTTATCCATGTGATAATGCTGTGACACTAGTCTGATGTAATGGGTGAACCAGTTTCGGGCTAGGACCTAGCGTCCTGGGATGAAAGGTTGGGACATAAAACGATTTGTAAAACTGGCTACAGCGCATGGGAATGAAATGCTCTACTTCTGTAAATAGTCAAAGGCATAGTTAAAAAAATGAAATGTGTGAATTGTATAGTTTTCAATGCAGATAAACTGTGTGCTGTTTACATATATAAGTGTAATCCTTCCATTCCTTATTTGAGGATTTATGGAGTGAATCCTCTGCTCCTTACTTCTCTGTGGCTGTTGACAGTTACTGATTCATGTTGTTTACACCAACTGCTTAACCAATTTGTTCCTTGACGTTTTGTCTGTTTGCCTCTACAGATATTTTGAGAACACGTTGAGCCAGAGAGATGGCGAGGTGTGTCGCAAGTATTTGTCCCAAGTGAAGTGTCCGACACTGGTGTTACATGGAGAGCTGGACCCTGTAGTACCTCTACATCATGGAGAATATGTGGCCAGACACATCCAGAGTGCGGAGTGAGTACATGAAACATCTAGCAGAGTACTGTATAATACATGATCCTTGATAAATGTGCCCTAATGGTCTTAAATTCATTTTATACTAAGCAAGATTTTTGAATAAAATACATTTGTTTCCACAGTAGAAACAGTGAAAACCTTCATGTATTACTGAACCACAATGGACGTAGTTGGAGGTTCAGTAATTAGCAGTTTCACAAAGTGCGAGGGCTATTCAGAAAATAAGAAAGAAGACGCGTTTGTCTCCTCAGCGACTGTCCAGCAAGAAGTGTTGTTTCGCTTCATGTTGTTGTAATATTCTAGTTGCAAAAGTATGCTGCAATTGAAAATCCCGCTAGTTATGATATGATTTTATTCCTTCTGAATATTGTTCTTACAATAAACAAACCTGTTGAATGCTGTTGCATAACACAAACAAAATTAATTCCAATGAGCGCTCTCACACCTACTGTGAGCTCTAACCTAGTGAAAATATATTAGGCTATAATTTTTGTGTTAGTTTTTGACCGTATTTATATCCTGATAAATTTATTAAATTGTTTTATCTGTTGTGATTTCCAACATGTAAATTTTTCCAAAGTACGCCACATTACTTTAGTACATTTTAATTTTCTTATATGTTTTTTGTGTTTTATTTACTTTTTTAATCTTGGCCTTGATTTCCGATAGTTTATCTGATCACTTTAATATAAAGCTTACGATCATTATGCTTTGTAGTTACCTTAAACACTTTTCATTTTTAAGTACTTTTTATTGTTTCAGGTATCATGTGATTAAAAAAGGTAGACATAATTTCCACTACAAGTTTTCAGACAAAATCAACTCAATGATTGACGACTTTTTATCGAAACCCGAGGACCTGGGGGCTACGGGTATTGTTAATCTGTAGTGAATGTTGTATGTTGTTATCAGAATACCAATGGTTTTGGATACTTTAAGGTCAATGGGAATTGTAATTGTTCTTGTGTAAAAGTCTTGCACTTAAAAATTTTAGTTTATAACCCAGATTGAATGGAAATTACATTGAATGTACCACACAAATACAGTACAGTAGTGATATTGATAGTGTTATTGAAATAGTGCATTATTCTTTCAAAGTTTTGTCACTATCTAGCTTTTACAAGCTAGAAATATCAACAATCCCCTGGATATGATAATGCTTTGAAGTTTATTTTACATATTCAATTCTTATTGTGGCATTCCACTTATTGAATGTTTATAGAATGTGATACAGGATAAGACTGGCTTAGGTAAATAATATTTTTGTACTCTGTATAAACTTTCAGAAACTTTACAACCAGTGAATAAGTCTGAATGCATTATAATTAGGAAGCAAAATTGATTTATATTCAGAAGAAGTTGACTCAACGAATAGGTTTAATGGCGCTTTCTTTTACTTCAATCTTAAACAATCAAAGTCATTAATTTTTTTTAATAGTGCCTTCTTTGAAATTGTACTTAGGTTATTTAGATTCTAGTTTAGTTAATTTTCTTGCAAAGTTACGATTGATATCATGAATATAGGAAGTTATTTTGTTGTTAGTTTTAGAATTTTGCATGGGGGGTAAGCATATTACAACACATAGTCACTAAAATTGCTAGGTTTTAGCACAGAAAACGTACAACTATAACCCAGAATGCCAACCGCATGGTAAAAAGCATTAAGCGGTTTGAGAGAGCTTTGCCTGTCAATCCGTAGGCAGCGCCACCAGCGTTGCTATGCTATTGCATGGCAACGCTGGTGGCGCTGCCTACGGATTGACAGGCAAAGCTCTCTCAAACCGCTTAATGCTTTTTACCATGCGGTTGGCATTCTGGGTATAGTAGTACGTTTTCTGTGGTTTTAGTGCTAAATATAAAACCTAGTCATGCAACATTTTTAATTTGCATTTGTGTTCAAATAACAGGTTGCTTATTTTAAACGTACAGTCAAAAAATTAAAACGTTTCTTTAAGAACAAGCAAGATACCTGGGCCAACAATGACTACTTATTGTTCATTCAACTAATTTTCTTAAATAAATTTTCTATTTCTAGTCAGCATTTCATTTTTGTTAGTAGGATTTGTATTTTAAACAACTACAACCTATATTTTTTTAGACATGTTTTTAAGAGGGTTCGACCCGCTCAATTTAAGATGGCGGCTAAACACGCTAATGTTCCTGAACATGTCTCTACAGTACAAGTTATCAACATTATAAAACCAATTATTTTCCAATTATTGTGTCCTTGTGGTGGTCTTAACATATCAGAGCTTGCAGTGAGTGGAGCAAAAATAGTTTTTAACTATTATTTAGAAGTTAAAATCGCATGTGAAAAAGACTAATTTACAGATTTTCAAAATGATTTTTTAAATACTTAAAGAAACAATTACGAAGTTTCAGTTCAGCCAGTGCATAGTTTGGATCTTTGTGAATATTTTAAAGTTTATTTAAACTCAATAAACACTTTAATAATGCCAGGAGGTTCTTTTTTGTAGGACCATGTTTACGTGGTAAACAACCGGCGCGGCGGGTGGAACCCTCTTAATTCTAATTTTTGTCTGTGAGAATAAATTGTTGTGGTTTGCCTGTATTAGACAGGTAAAGCCACAATTTAAGGGTCAAATGTTTGTAAGTAAACCAAGTTTCAAATTGTTTTGTGCCAGCTGTTTGTCAGACACAATGTAGAGTTTAATCATTGACTATACACAGATAGCACAATAAAAATATGCATTGACCCCAAAAAATTAGTACAAGCAAGGAATTTAGTACAGATGTTTGGTGTATCTACCTTTTGAATAGAAATATGCCGCCATTTTCCAATATAGCAGCTGTAGCACAGCTTCAATTTCCAGGGACTTTTAGTACTGTATGTTCAAAAGGAAGATACACCCAACATAACATCTGTACCAAATTCCTTGATTGTACTATTATTTTTTTAGGTTTATCGAATTTTTCACTTATTTTTACTGTAATAAGAATATACTTCCCATGTAATGTAAAAATTTGATAGTCAGTGGTTCAATCTAAATCAATATATTCATAGATATTGTTGAATAGAATATTAAAATGGTTAAAAGTTAGGAGTCATCAAGTTGTATGCTGTATTAGTACTTCATATAAGTGTCAACACTGTCAATACTATATTTTTTATATTCATTAAAAGTTAAAAGTTGTTACTTAATTATGGGTTTTCATTCTGTATCTTAACTCTTTGAATATTCTGTGACATGATGATACCAATGTTCTGTCATGGGGAACCTATGTTTTTGTTCAGGTGCTCCATTATTTAGTAAAAATTATGATCAAATCATTACACAACCCATAGAGTTTTTAAAGATTTGATAATAAAGAAAAATGTTAGGTATAATTAATACTCAATTCAACAACAAGTGTTTGACAGTATTTACTTAATATATTTAAGAACTCCACAAGTTTAATTAAAAACTTTATTTTGAATCATAAATCATAAATGAATCATCTTAAATTAAAGTGTACTATTTTCAAATGAATTTAAAAACTTCATTTCACTAAATCATTGGGCTATGAACTAATGATGCGACCCAACAAACAGGTCGGATATTAGTTAACAAGATCAGGGTTTAACTATTCCCTTTCAAAACGTAAAAAATGCCATTGACTTAGAAAATACACAAAATAAAAAAATAAAATCTTTTTGACAAGGTCAACAAATTCATACTAATCCAACATTTTTTTTACATTAAATTGTAAAAGCCAAGTTGTATGTTTCCTGAAATATCTATTATTATGAGAAACAAGAGCAAGAGACATTTAACAATATGTTTGTTGTTGTAGTAGACTCAGGTCCAATTGGTGTTGAGGGTCATCAATTGTTCACTTCCAACTCTTGTTGTCAACCCACATGACACTCACAACAAACTGGTCCAATTGTCAAAACTGGTCTAGCCAGGGACAAATTAGGACCATGACATCTTTGACAAATTTGGTCATCTTTGTCAACAGTAATTAATTACATGTTTTATATCAGAGTTACAATCACAAAGTTTCACATTTCTTATTGATTTATATTTACTGAGCTGAGTGGTTTTAGTTTTCTCCTAGTACTGTAATTAGTCCAGTCAATGAATGATCCAAAAGTAGGTGTAGAGTGCGTGAGCAGGTAACTAAGCGATTCCTTCAGAAACTTGTTCAGGGGGCTTAGGGTGTTAACATACCAAAAGTCCTGACTCCTAGGTGGTGAGCCAGGGGGTGGAGGGGGGAAAAGGGGGGGGGGAAAGGTACGCATTTTGGGTTTTTTGATTATATCTCGAAAACTATCAACTTTTTGTATACTATAGTAAATTATAAAATTGAAGAAGATTAAATTTTCTACAAGAAAAGTATATAATGTGTTTATTTTGGTTCAACAGATTACGAGTTATAACTTATTTAATTGATATCTTATTAAAATACTCCTTCCATAAGAAATACATGTAAATTAGTATGCGAAATGGGGCGAATCCTATCCGCCCAAAGGAAATATAACTGATATTCTGGAAATATTGACAAAATTTCCAGTAATTTGACACTTTAATCATGAAATTTTGTCAAAAATTAAAGCGAGGGTGAGCGTTTAAAAATGGGATGATTTAAGGTTTTTTTTTATATTTCCAATAAAAAAACACCAAAACTCGAAATTTTGTAACCTCGCCCTCGCCTTAATTTTGGATCAATTTTAATGATTAAAGTGTCAAATTACTGGAAATTTTGTCAAGATTTCCAGAATATCATTTATATTTCCTTTGGGTGGATAGGATTCGCCCCATTTCGCATACTAATTTACATGTATTTCTTATGGAAGGAGTATTTTAATAAAATATCAATTAAATAAGTTATAACTCGTAATCTGTTGAACCAAAATAAACACATTATATACTTTTCTTGTAGAAAATTTAATCTTCTTCAATTTTATAATTTACTATAGTACACAAAAAGTTGATAGTTTTCGAGATATAATCAAAAAACCCAAAATGTGTACCTTTCTCCCCCCCCCCCTTTTTCCCCTCTCCACCCCCTGGCTCACCACCTAGGAGTCAGGACTTTTGGTATGTTAACACCCGAAGCCCCCTGAACAAGTTTCTGAAGGAATCGCTTAGTTACCTGCTCACGCACTCTACACCTCATTCCTTGACTGGACTAAATCAGAAAGTGGCTGATTTGACTCAATAGTCAGTAGCTAACTGGACCCAGCTGTCCTAGACAATTGGGCTTTTAATAAAAGGCCCTGGCTAAAGGATCAGCTGATCTTAGTAACAAAGCTACTCAGATAATCTTGCTCCATTTTAAGCTTAAGGGGGGTTTTACATGGGTCAACTTGAGTTAAGCAACTGGAGTTTAATCTCGGCAAGTACTTTTACCCTATGGCACACATACTCGGTGTATGTTATGATCAAATGTAGTGTAAATTGTAATTTTTTTTAAGGATAATTGATCATTTTGTAAATTACTCAAATCAGCAGAAATAATAGGGGTTTTTCCCCAACTACAAACCATTATTCTTGTCACTCCTTATAACTCAAATGTATTTTTAATAGGTACCGGTACTTTTCTTTAGTAAGTTGTGAGGCTGTGAATATTCACTGAGTCATAAAAGCTGAGAAGAAGCCTTACAAGCACTAATGAGGGGAGGAGGCAGTAACCTGACCTAGGCAATCCATCTAAGCTTATGTAGGGATTGTTTTAAGCTTATTATGATTCACAAGTTGTTGCATAATTCATTTTTCAACTCACTAACTATTGAACAAATGAATGACAAAAACATTTTAATATGAAATTGATATGGTAATACTCCAGCAAACCTGCAGATTAAGTGATTTTTCATTTGACTGATTTGATTTAAAATTAAATATATTTTACCAACATTAGGTTTATGATGAGTACCTAGGTTTGCTGCTACAGGGAGGGTGATAAAGTGTGTTTTAATAGAAAATTAATAGCGCTTAGTATATAATAAATTATTTGGTAAAAATATATTCATAAACAAGCAAACTACAACAGTTTACTAATTCTCCATAAGAATAACATGGGAATATTAAATAAACATTTTTTTTTATTTTCTCAGTAGCCGCATTAATATACTAAACTAGCAGAGTACCCGTCCTTCGTACGGGGTTGGCATATAAGTATCAAATGCTTATAGCAGTTATGAGTGAGGACATGGTTTAAGAAATTTCGGTTCTTTTTGAAGTTCGTTCGCTACGCTCACTCACCTTTAGGTTGGAGCTCGTTCGCTGCGCTCACTTTCCTTCAGGTTAGCTCGTTCGCTACGCTCACTTGCCTTCAGGTTAGCTCGTTCGCTACGCTCACTCGCCTCCAGGTTGAAGTTCGTTCGCTACGCTCACTCACCTTTTGCTGTTGTCATAAATGTAAAAGAAATAATAGTGCTAGTGCTGCACCCTGTTGGTAATCCTTGTAACTTTTAATGCTATTGAACATCATAGAACATAACCAACTTGTTTAATTGAAACAGCTGTTAAGATTCATTAATTCCATTTCTCATAAGGTTAACATGGGAAACTCCAGAGCCACTGGGGCGGAGCCCCGAAGGATTTTTTGGGATAAAAATATGCCTGCTATCATCATGCCAAATTTCAGCCCGATCCGACCA